TAGCAAATTTCCACGTTGGGAACATACAGGCCACCACATCATCCTATGCCAATACCGCATGGCCAGATGGTCACTGCTGACGCAAAGAATCAGCACACACTCAAGGCATTTATCGAATTTTCTGTACGTTTAAATTTTACGGCAAAACCCTATGCACACAAAAATTGTTTCTGCTACTGTTCTGTGAGTATGTCTCTGATGATGAATCCGCGACGGAATTTCGAAACTTCAGGCAAATAAGCATATTGTCCCAGCAATTGAGTCGTTTTCTACTTCTCAATTACTTTCTGGGACTCGCATGTTCGCTTGTATTAGCAAACGTAGCATTATTTTTCTGTGGAATTTGGCGAAAACACACCTATATTGCAGTAGGTTCCCATCCCCATTCTCCGTTTAGGGGCTCACATACGTCCTGCTTACTAGATGCGTCTAACAGTAAGCAGTTGTATCCCTGGGTCACAGGGGTCAAATTTATTGAGGAACAATAAAATGAAAGGGCAGTATCTTTACTAAACCTTCATTACTAAAATTGTTGTATTGCATTAAAATAAGTGATTCGTCACAACAAAAAGACGTTCTTTATTGTTATGTTATTTGAAAATGTGAAGAAAACGCACATCGTATTAAAACATGTTTGGATGTCCCAAGCACATAAGGCGATTATAATAAGTTGGACAATCTCTAAAAGGCAGAGAGGCATAGGATAAATCTGGTCCTTATGTTGTGAGTATCCGAATGTAGGTGTATAAGCGATTTTAGGCGGCCGTTTGAAATCACATCAGTAAAGCTGTCAAGGGCATTATGAATTCTCGATAATGTGCAATATTATACTGAAAGGTGCTTTATAGGAAATTGTTATGTCCTGCAGACGCAGTCCCTTGGCCAGTGAAAATGGAAACAGTTTGTAAAGTTAGCATGAGTAAATCATTTATTTACAGTGTTGTTTGGAATATTTTCAGAAGATAGCTAGATGCAGTTGTGGGATATGAAACAGTCTATCAAGGAACCTAAGCCATGAGTATCCCAATAGTTACGAATTAGTAAATAATAACATAGCCGTTTGCAGATAAGAGCACGTGCTTATTCAAAGTCTTTTTTAAAAGTTGTGGTAAGTTAATTCAAGGCATATTTAACCGAATAAGACAAAAAGGCAGTTTAATGTTACTACAATACTCCCCCGACAGGAATGATTTCAGAGGCTCCAAAAATCCCGTCGACTTATACTAAAAACTACTTTTAAATGTTCAGCAGCCCGACTTTGACTTTCTTCGTTAAATTCCACGAATAGGACGCCGAATTTTCATTTTCCTTAAATTTCGCCTACGTAAGGTTGAATTTACGTTAACTGGTATTCGTAACCTGCTCAAGAGAAATTCATGTTGACCGAATTTTATTCTATTTTAGCATATTAAAGAAACATTATCTTATTTAATTTAATATTTTCTAAGATGACAAAAGCAGCATGATTTATTGGATCCATGGCATCTCGAGGAACTCTTCGGTTGCTGCCTCTCATTGCATAACGTTAATCCCGTAAGAAAAATACAAATTGAATTTATACAGAAAAATCGATATAAATACCAAGGTCATACGAAATGGCAGAAGCTAATCAATAACAAAAGAAAGTTAAAACGCTATGAACAGCTCTCTCGAAATGTCTTTGATCCAATAAATCTTGCTGTTTTCGCCATCTTTAAACTTGCACCTGGGAAACGTCGCTTTTAATATTTTTTGATCACTTCCGCCACAATTACCTATTAATTTAAGCTCACTAGCCAACAATTTAACGTTTGACCAGAAACTACATTTAGCAGTTTGGCGGGGGGATAGATATTCAATGGGGCCCTAGAAGTCAGCTTTTCCCTCCCCTCCTAGAAGAACGGAGTTCAGAAAAAAATGTTAATAGGAAGAAGAGGTAAGAGTATAAGGCATTTCGCTCATTTCATCAGTGTAAGACATATTGTCAAATTTGCTAAGGATCGGGAAAACGGAGGTGACGACCACTGCGTGTAGTGGGAGGGGTTTGTTGGATAAAGGAAGACGCAGGGTTTTCGAGTGTATACGGAGTCCTGGAAATAGCAAGTGGCAATGTGCCGGATGGAGGTTGTTCGGTTGGAGGGGTTGAACGAGGCTCGATATAAGCCGCCTTCAAACGATCGAATGAGACCATCTCGGTGCGGTCGCCCCGGGCAATCGTAACATGTTTTTCCGTGCGAGATAGTACTCTAAATGGTCCGTCGTAGGGCTGTTGTCGTGACCGACTTACACTGTCTACGCGGACAAATACAAAGCGACATTTTAGTAAGTTAGGGTCGATGTATGACTTACTTGTGTAAGC